TCTAAGGTTTTGCCAGGGATTAAAAGCACACAAGCAGTTTCACACTGCGTTTTTTTGTTTATTCATGTATTCACTGCTTCTTTTGTTTAGCAGTTTCGTAACAGCTGTTTGTGGTACTGTGTTGTTAAGGTGCAGAGGGATCAACATTGATGTCATACTTTTCAAAAAACCAAATACAGGCCCTGAAGCCAAAAATAACATTCAGCACCTTAAGGGACTTGCAGTGTCCAGTGTTACAAAGTAGTGATCTGCAAGGAAAACCAGAGGAGTCCTGCAGTACAGAGGAGCTGTTTGAATGGCTGGGTGCTGTCTTGAATCAAGTCAGCTTGTAAGTACTTGTATTTGTTTGATCTTTAAACATGTTTTAAGTAAAGGAAGCCACAATTTATTTTAAGAAATAGTTAATAATAATTAAGACAGAGAGTGTTTTGTAAGTGGGAATCTTTTATGCAGTTAAATGTTGTAAGTCTTGAATTATTTTATCTGTGTTTTATGGGGTACCCATATGTACTGAATTGGGCTGGGATAATTTTCCTCTTAGTAACTGGTGTGGTGCTGTGCTTTGGATCTGTGACCAAGGGTGTTGATAACAGGGGATGTTTTAACTATTGATGGGCAGGGCTTGCACAGTCTGAAGGCCCTTTGCTGTCCCTCCTACATCCCTGCCAGTGAGGAGGCTGGGGGTGGACAGGAGGCTGGGAGAGAACCCAGCCAGCACAGAAAACCCCAGCTGAGCAGAGGAATATCCCACACCATGGGTTATGGTCACATGCTCAGCAGCAAAAGCTGGGGCAAGGATGGTTGAGAAACATTTGGAGTTCCAGCATTTGTCTTCCCAAGTCAGTTAGAAGCCCTGCCTTCCTGGAGATGGCTGCACGTCTGCTGCCCATGGGAAATATTAAATCCTTTGTGTGCTTTGCTTTCATGTGGGACTTTTCCTCTGCCTATTAAATTGTCTTTATCTCAACCCATGCATTTTCTTCCATTACCCTTTCAGTTCCAGGTGGGAGTGAGGGAGTGAGCAGCTGTGTGGTGTTTGGGTGCTTACAGGATTAATCCACAGCACCATGAGATCTTTTGTATTGATTGCTTGGACATTAATTACTTTGGCATTAATTTAGATGTTATACATAGATCCTATTTGTTTGGTACAGGTTTTGATTACTAAGACATCCTATAGAATATTTAAGACAAATTTATTTCAGTTGCTTTATGTGTTTTTTCCTTCCAGAGACAACAAATCCTCCAGCTTCTTATCAACCTATTGCTGTCCTGAGCCCAACACGGTGGTGGAAAAAGCTTTTTTATGCACAATCACAGGCTTTATAATTCCTGAGAAGATCATCCAGTTATTGGAGCAACTGTGGTAAGGGCTGACAGGATAACATTTAGTATAACACTTGTACTCAAAACTTCTTATTTGAAATCACTTTTAAATACTTTTCAGTTGGAAATAAATAGCTAAATATATAAATGAAGACTTTTTTTTAATTAGGAAATGAGCTGGAAGTAGACATCAGCATTAAAAAATTATAAATTATAATTTTATAATTTACAATTATAAAAGCATAAAAAATAATAAACAATTTTGGATGCCTCAAATCTGAAAAAGCCTGCCATGTATTCTAGTTATGACTTTGGTTTTTATCTGAATTTCTAAGAAACTGTGGCTGTATGGTACTCCTACATCTTTAAAATGTGGAATGGATAATATCTGGCTTTGATTATTCATAATCTATTTCCTCTCTGGTGGTAAAAGTATTTGTGTCAAGCATAGCCTTAGACTACATTACTTTCTCCAATGTCTTTTTTCTTCTCTGATAGCAATTGTTCTCATTAAATGTTCAATTTTCTGAAAGAAAATCCTGTAGCAAAGTCAGAATTGCTACTTTACAACTTAGAACTTTTTCTAATTGCTACAACTTGCGGATTTACCATGTATAAAATTATGGTAGGAATAATAGATAGTCAGTCTTACTTTTTTCCCCTAAGCTTTTCTGGGTATTTTCTTTGGAGTTTATTTATTATGGACTAAACTTTTTAACTGTTAATGAATTTTCACTAAAGTGTGTCTTTGATTGTTTTACTTTATACTGTAGACTTGAATGTGCTGCCCATTCCTTTATAATCACTTATTATCTTGTCTTCTTGCTTGCAGTTGCTATTTTGGTGAACCAAAACTGGCGTATTGGCTGACCTTAACTGTGCATGGCTTTGCAGACAGCCCTGTCTCCTGGAGAGAAAGTGAACATGGTTTCCACAAAGGAGGAGAGAACTTGTACAATTTTGTCATTTTTAGAAATTTGGACTATTGGCTTCAGATGGCTGTAGGAGCTCATGATGATTGTCCTCCATAAAGCTGTGTCCACAGAAGAAGTTCTCTAATAATCCCTTGTTACTGACAGAAAGTTAATAAAATATTTTTTATACATGTAGTTATGTAACAGATTAAGTACTAAGAGACTGTTCATATTTTTGTTATTTGTAGCCAATGGAAGGAATGGATTTTTGTTTCTTCACTGTCATACAATGCCTTC